TCATTGACTTTCCTTGTGGGAGGCTGGCAGGGAGCATCGGAAATCTCCCTCCCTCCCTCCCCCCACAGATTGTCAATGCTCAAACCAGCCCAATAGAACCTTCCACTCTGTAGGAAGTGACACACCACTGCCTCTGGAATAGCCACTCTTCTCTCCTAAATAAGCCAGCATTTCTAGAGATGAGAGACAGCTATTGCTTACTCTTGGGAATACAATAAATGGGTGTGAAATGCTAACCCAAGGTCATAATGCTAGGTATAATCTCTTATTCGCTTGCTCTGGGACTATGTGGAGCATGAGTGTATGTGCATGGGATGAATAATTTAAAACCAAATTAAAATCTTCTATCTGAGGCCCTTGCTCCTAGCCACATAAGAAATGGGAAGCACACCAGTTAATTTTTGCTCTCTATGGTTGTCTTGCAGAATCCATCTGCCCTACTATTTATCCTAAGTGGAACTGAAGCAGTTACATTTGGCTTTGGCCCAATCCTCAATATGTTTCCTTTATATCAGATTAAATTCTGATTATAGCCACTTTTCCTATGAACAGCCCCAAGGCACGCAACACTAAGAGCTTCTCCATAGGACAAGACTAACAGCAAATCCAGTGGGGCAGGAAAACCGGCCTTCAGCAGGAATAACAAATGTGCAATAAGGGAGGAAGGAACAACAAGGCTGGCAGTGATACATAGTGAAGTGCTTCCATCCAATTTGGATAATCCCATCACCACCAGCCTTTCCTGATAGGAGACATTATGAGTTGTCCACCCAAATGAATATTAGAAGGATGTCTTGAAACAAAAGGGCATGGCATGCAGGCTCCTGCTAGGAAATGCTGTCATGCTTGGGCTGATGAGTGGACATGTCCAGCCCAGAAGAGGGGAGCAGCAATCGGACCAATGAACGTCCCTTGTTTCCCACTGGGAACGTGCAGAGTTGAGGCTGACTGGAGCACCTGCTTACATTCCCGACCATCTGCAGCAGGCAACCTCAGTCTGGAAGGTTGATTGCTTGCTCTCAAGTGATGCCCCCTCTCAAGTTCTTCACTGAGAATAGAGGCAACTGCTACCACCAGGTAAAGAAGGGCCTGCGGCTCTGGAAGCTTTGTGTATATGATTCACTGGCAGAGCGCTGATGGGAACGAGCAGTCTCTACAATAACAGGAGGCATCTGGACCAGGTTAAGAGGGCTCTTCCCATCTTTCAGGGCTTGCATCAAGTTCAAGATCTAGGAACAGAGGAAAGAAAACTGAATGCCAACCTCAGTTATAAACAGAAGCAAAAATTGCCCAATGCCCAACACATGTTCCATCCCTCTAGAGGGACTAAGTAGCATACCTGACCACGCATTACTGCAATCTGTTTATGAAATTGGCCTCTGTCAAAACCTGGATCTTTCTATAAAAGAAATAACATACCTAATTAGGATGGATGTGGCATCCACATTCCTGCTCCTTCATTATCCTAAGAGAAAAATGGGTACTTCCCATGATATCCAGATATTAACTTGCTCTTATAGTTACCTTGAAGAGTTCAAAGAGATCTTCTTCTAGATCCTTGACAAAATTAGGGTCTGAAATCTTTGGCAGGATGAGATCCTTGATCTCTTGAGAGAATGGCACTTTGGCCTGGGGCAGCCATGCCCAATAGAAAGGATCTTGTGAAGGAAGAACAAAGAGAAGGCAAATATTAGGCTCATAAAGCCAGACCAGCAATAAGGGTAGCACAGTATTAAAAACAAAGGAAATACTTCAGGGCCTGAACATCCTGGACTTATTATACGAACATCAGGCAATTAGCCCTTCACCAGCAACCAAACTGAGAAAAAATACATACAATAAATAATGAGCTAGTGTGGCTTCTCTTGCGTGGAGTACTTACATGCTCTCCAGGAGTCTGGATGCTTAAGAGGGAAAGCCAAACCATTGTCAATGGCTGCCAGTTTAATTATAGGCTCTTTTACTACAACCCATTCTGAGTCCTACAAGGAAACAGAAAAATGTACCAGGAAATTATATAAGTCCCAGCAATCATTGCCCATTTATTGAAGAGATAGCATATAATTCCAGAAGACTCATTGCCCTAAAGCCAACACAATGTGATACTGACCATGTATCACTAGCTCAACAGAATTTAACCTACCCCTGTCTTATATCCCCTCTGCAAAGGGAGGCCAAACACTGCTAATTGGTATGCTTGGATTCCCTGGATTTACTGACACTACTAATGCTCTTTCACATGTTGCCCCCTACAAAACCAAGATGCCACAAAGTACTTCTGCTGCATTGCCTAAGAAGGATCCAGCAAATCCTAGGTCTCTACACTATTCCATATACTTAAGGCTAACTTTTAATATTTCTATGCAGTTCACATGACATGTCTAAGTATTTTT